ACCTGCAGCTACATCAGCATTTAAGTGCTAGATTATACTTACCAGCACCAAACACAGCACCGTCTGCTTCATTTTCTCCACCTAACAGTTGCCTTAAGAGTTTAAAGAGTTATAAACCCTTCTCTACTCAGCACTGAAATAGGAGCCAATACCCATTCCCCCTAGCAAATACGGGTCCACATCTCCAGTCTAGTTTGTTTTCATGCAAATTTTGTCACCTTTATTTGTTCCAGTGTGACCAGTTTTGCAGTAAAGACTTTTCTTCATTGAGGACAGCAGAATATGATACCCAGAGATTAGTGTGTGGCTAAACTGTGCCACTTTCATAATGAAAGAATCTGGCAATATATTCCTAGAGCACGGGCTTTCTGAATTAATCAGAAAAAAAGGAAAATAATTAAAACAAATAATTCTGTGCTTCAAATCCATAATTATACTTAACAACAGCATCTAACATTGTCATCAGATACCAGAATCAACAAAGGCTGATTCCAATGGGAGTGCTGTCAGACTAAAACTGAGCATGAGGCCCTTGAAGTACAGTATGACCTGAGACAATGTCAGTAGGTTTATTCCCTCCCTCCTTCCTCTCCTATAGGAACTTCATCCTTCCTTTTGCTCCCACCCTCCCTGCCCTATTCTGCTGCTCCCCCAGTTAGCCTGATAAAACTATTAGTGGAGTTGCACTCTCAGCAGAATCACTAAAATGACCCGCTTCAAAAATTACACCTTTTCCTTTGCAGAGAAGAGATCAGAAAAGGAGGAGCAACTGCTCAAACACACCAGAGATGGGTAACCTGAGGTCCTGACCTCAGTGGCAGGCAGCCCACTACAGGGTGTGAGACGCGACGCAGACCTTTAAAAAGCCTGCTAAAGGTACGACACGATTTGCCAGCCCTGTGGAACTAAAAAAACGTGCTGTTGCTTGACAAAGTGCACTCAAATCCCTTCTCTGAGCTGTTCTTTAAAAATTAAAGTGACCTAAAGCAAAGCTTATTTTCAAATGTTGTTTGTTAGAATAAACAAAACCCCACCCCAACACCCATAGCAAGAAGCAAAGGAAATAATTCTTAACAGAGTATTCTGTGATATCTGTATTTCTACAGGAAAGGCCCTTGGCATTGCTGTGGTGAGAGTGGAGGACATTTTATAAACATATTTCTATAAAGAGAAAAGTATTCAAATTGGAAATGCCTGTTTGGCTGTCTCTCCCCCTTTGCAGCTTGTGTACTCCTTCAGCAGATAACAGAGAGGACAGCTCTTGCTAGCAGGCTGCTCTCAACATTCTCTTCATTAACTCTGGGAAAAATAAAAGCTCCATTCTACATTGTTTGATGGTAATTAGAAGCTGAATCATGCAATGCACTAACCCTCCAATGTTCTTTGCGTATTTACAGTTTATATTAGCATATTACACCTAGTTTTATTTAGACTTCTTAGAAACTTATGCTGTTATAGAGAGTGTAGTTTGGGGAGCTGGTGACATAGTTAAAATATACTTGTGGAAAAGGTATTTTTATAAATTCTACAGAAGAGTAATCAATGTTAAAAAAATAAATCTCAGTGCCCCCTGGTTATGTTGGGAATCTTTTCAGCTCACAGAAGAACATGATTTTTTTCATCACATATGCAGATTATTTTTCACAAAATCATCACAGTCATCAGAGAAGACGCAGATTATTTCTCCTTGTCTCATTGAGTTCTGGTAAATTCAGGGGGCTACTAGTTTGGAATGAATGGTCTCCATCAATAGAGGACAACTACCATTTCATTCATCGTCTTAAGGATGACCTCAGAAGGTCAGCAAACAGTTCTCTACATAAAAAGCCTTAGAATACCATAAATACTCCCTAGGTAAGAGATTCCAGAGACAGCATTACACTTTACTCGATACCTAGATTTGCTGTTTGGGGTATATGAGTATGTTGGTCACATCAGAGAGGTTGCCAAAATAGGATGAACAAAACTCCCTCTTTGTCTATCAGAAGCAGTCTGTTCTCATTTGGGTAAGAATCTTTATTTACCTTTTTTTAAATTTTTCTTACATCACAGGAACTACACTCAGTTACAACAAAAGTTGCAAAAGGCTAGTTCACTGAGACATGTAACACAGAAATACAAATGCTCGTGCCAGTCTGTGGTCACTTTATGTTGATCTGAAGACACTTCATCTGTGTGAGCCAAGCAGTGAGTATACCTGGGAAACCCCAAGAGAAATGATGATAATTCAGTAACTGACATACTTTGATTTGGAACTCAACTGACACCTTGGCATGACTCTGTCTTTTCATCACAAATAGCTTTCGCCTTCCTCAGATGATGCTCATCATATTTATGAACATAATCAAAGAATGAGCATGGTAAGAACCATCACATGCTAAACCTGTAGATCTCATACTTATCTATAAGTTAGCTAATTTGTGTTTCTTAGAATTTATTTAGTTCTTATGGTTTTTTGGTTGGTGGGGTTTTTTTGTTGTTTGTTTTTTTTTTGGGGTTTTTTTTTGAGAAAATGTTATATTCCACTTCTGATTCTAAGCAAAGAAATAGAAAAAACCTCTCAACTCTGTTACACACAGTCCCAAGGAAACCAGGAAGACAAGATTTGATGGTATAATATATACAGCTGGAGGCAGATCAAAGCAATGCAGGCATTTTTCAACAAGAAAGATGACAACTCTTCTCAAATGAAATTAGGGCTTCTACTTACTCTCTGAACATCTGCATTCAATATCCCAGTTTTTTACCCTCTCAGTAGGACAGATGGTAATGAGGTACTCAATTCCCAATGGCTTTCAAAGAGATTTAGGCACCTGCCTCACATTTGTTCAAGACTTCTTTTTCCATGCTATTTCCAGCTATGACAAACTGCATACAAACCAGGAGAATCCATTTGCTGCTTTGCTGCCACCTTGCAGTTTGCCCTTGCACAAAATTACTTAACTTTGTATTCCTCTTTTTAGCCACTCCATTTATGAAGTAAAAACCCCACCCTATAATTAATATATTTAATATTTTTTGAAATGTTTTGAGCTTGCACTAGAGGTACATTATAAATACATGCATATCTAAATTACCAACATTCAAAAATAACAGGAAAAATACTCAATGGTGGATTAACTACATATGATCAATGCCAAATAAAAAAAAAAATCTTACTCTGGTTTTGCTGAGGTCATTTAGTGCTGTACAATTCTCATGAAGTAAATATTTTTGAAAGTGTGGAATGCTCTGAGATTAAGCAATACATTACATTTTTTGATCAAATGCCAGAAGCCATAGGTGAATAGGAAACAGACATCAGTAATTGCAGTTTGTACTTCAGCTGTTTCAAAACCCCTTGCTTCAATGAGCAAGTATTAACTGGACAGACACTCCTTCACAAATTAGAGGTTGCAAAGGCTTATTACACACCATATTTATCTTTGAAACTTGTCCAACAGAATTAAACTAAAAAAATAATGATACAGATTATGGTTGCAGGCAAAAAACTATTAAAACTCTAACAACTATATATATGTTATTATCTGTCAAACTGTCCCTGCAGCCACGCTTTGGTTTAGCAGCTCAGGAATGCAGTATTAAGAAATACTAGTAATTGTATTAGTATGGTGGTGTCAAACATCAAACTGCCTGTATTTTATCACACGAATTGATATGCAATTTATTTCTTGATTGTGTAAGCCTTAGAACATAATACAACTGCAAGAATATAAATCTGAACTATCCTCAAATGGGAGTAGAAATGAGAATGTGTGACACCCACGTAAACAACCAGCACACAAGCATCCACAGTGCTTAATGAAACTGCACACAACCATCAACTTGACATGAACCAAATCTACTGCAAAACCAAAAGCAATCTAACCACCCCACTGTGTAATAGTACCCAAGCAATAAACTTAGTTAAGAGGCATTTCTGGCAGTTTGGCACATAACTGAGCTAGCTTTGCTCAGGTGAGGTAGCTCACGATACAACCCTTGTTCAAAAAGAACAATGGTAATTGTGAGACGTTCCCCTTTTCAAAGTGAGGTTTTCTGTTTACTCTGGAGAAGTGTACTTGGGAAGCTACAAGATTTTTCCTCAAATGACTTAAGACTACTCAGGATATCCAAGGCAGTACCATGACTATAGTTGGAAGAAATATGAAAGTGTGGTGGAGAAAAATACTGAGGCAAAACTAGTTCACATATTTATTTTTCAGGATTCTCAGGGGTAGGAAAGATCTTAGGCAAGTCTGCCTTTTGTTGCCCAACTCAAGATATCATCAAATGAGCTCCTAATAAATATTTGGCTTCACAACAGATTTGTACTGAAATTAGTAATTTAAGTACATTCCTCTAGATATGCAATTGAAGTCAGATGAGGAAACAGCACAAACTTTTCACTTGCCACAAGAATTATTACAACATCTCAAATTTAGTTCAGTGTAAGAGATCATATATTTAAGATGATTAAAAAGGTTTAAGTTAACAGACACAAGCTTTTGGATTGTTTTAACACTCTTAAAAAAACAGGAAAAAAGTAAAACTGTGTTCTGAGATTTGTTTGACCAAAATTCACAGCACAGAGCAAAACCAAGGAAAAGTGTCAGGAATGCAAGACATGTTAGAATCGGATCCACAATTCAGGAGGATGTTTATTAAAGGTAGACTTATGTGTTCATTTATTATGTATTTAGATGATCTTTCTCTATAAAACTGTATTATGCTGGTTTATTTTCCTTGTTAATCAGGCTTTTTCAAATATGGTATAATTCTGGGAATTAACTAATATTCTAAACAAATACTTTAGACCAAAATACTTGAAATATAATTTTTAAATTCATCACACAAGTAACCCAATGCGAACATTCTGCATACTTCCTAACTAGTTACGTTATTAATGGCCTAACATAAAACTAATTGGTAATTTTAAGTGAAAAATATTACAGGTGGCTGGGTATGCACTGCTGTGACAAATACAACGTGGCAAGTTCTCAGACAATAGCTGGTTTTTAACAGTTTGGATTTCTTTTAAAGCACATTTTCATATCATAAACAGCACTAATCCTTACAATTAGATCAAGATCTTTATTAGAATAATAAATACTGTTACTGCTAAGAGCAACTATTACAAAAAAAAACATACAACTGTTGAATATACTCTACTTTTAAATGTTTAATGGAATACTGCTGATGTTTTCAGCACAAAATTATCAGTATCATTTTGCTTTTCAGTATATAACAAGCAGAAAGGTCAACTGTATCTAACACTCACCTGCCAGCTGCTTAAAAAAACCCAACAGAAAATATGGACAGAGTGCCCTCAAGTTTTGGACAGGAACATTAGGAACCGAGAAAAATCTCGATGAAGGTTCACAGTTTAATCTGTTTGTTTATGCAAGCAAACATGCAATTTACTTTTATAATTACTTTACTAAAAGATATCACTTGCTTCCTTCCACACCAAAGTTTCTAAAGCTAATGTAGTTCATAAACCATAGTGTGAGATTTATGATGTTATACTGCAGAAACCTGTTTAGTCCCTGATTTACAATCCTGGCAATTGTATTCAACTCTGTCATCATAACTAATTACAGCTAACTGCAGATTACCATATTGCAAACTCTCAACTTTGTGAAAGAAATACGATGTTCTGCTAAAAAAGAAAAAGAATCAAACATCCTGAGGGCTAATGAACAAAAATGCACTATTCCATGTTGGACTGCAAACCTAAACTCTTCAAATTGGTGCCGTAAAACTTCAAATTGCTATTTGTTGGCAAGTTGTTTTAGCCTCAAGTACTTACATAGTAAATCACCATTACACTAATACCATACCTTTGGCCTGAAACATATTAATCTTGGTTAACAATAACTGACATTTACATTACCAATTAAATTCAGGCATTGTGGTGAATAAACATACATGCAAGAGCTTCAGGGAGAAAACTTACCAGCATCCTTTTCACTGAACAATTTTGAAGAAACATCGTCAATTCTTCTTATAATCTTGTAACAAACATTCAAATCCTAACTGATCTGTAAAATATTTGACTTGGAGTAAAATCTGCATTTGTTTCTTGGGTGCAGCTAACTGCACAACACATTTTGGTTATTTTTCAGGATAGCTATTTCTATATCTGCTCAAAGAAACTGTGACTTTTAAAACCTGAGTTCCTGGGAAGGAAAGAAAAATGAGACTTCTAAGTATTCTGAAGATCATGGCACCAAGATATGATGAATATATACCTGATCCTCCCAGGAGGAGGATAGACTTTTTCAGCCAATTTCTGTATTTACTATAATGTCTATATTTACTAAGCCCATAAATGTATGAATAATGATGGTTTTAAACAGGTAGGATGGTTTTGCTTTTGTTTATTGAGTGCCCCCTCAAACATTCAAGCAATCAGAAAAGTAGTACTTGCTGCACTGTCTGTATAACCTCAGCGGGAACACATATCCCTCTCCTTACACCCACACATAACTGCAGAGCAGCACACATTTGGACCAAGCATTTTATTCCAACTTTAGAGAGTTCTCTGACAGACCTCAAATGAATTCTGCAATGTATTATCTTAAATTTTTATATTTTGGAGAAAAATACTGTATGTAACATAGTACTGATATTTAGGTAGTATTGTTTATAACATAAGATAGCTCCAAAACAAGATACTGCAGTCTAACAGCATTAAGAGAAACAGAAGGAATTTCATATGTTGGGCTTTGTTTCAGGGTTTTTCTGTGTTTAGATTTAAGAAGTCGTCCACAAAGATTCTTCAGGTAAAAACCAATATACGAGTCCTGAGGAAAACAGGATAGGTCACATGTATCCCATATTGCTTTTTGTTTCCCATCTTTTCTTGGCTTCAAATCTGAAATAGAGCACAAAAGCCACAGTAGGAATCAAAAGCATATGTATTTCAGGTATTCAACCACACTATTCTTAACAACAACAAAAATAAAAACTTATTTTTAATACTGTAATAAAGACATGAAGGCAACTGCAGCCATATAACCAATACATTAATTGTGGAAAAGCCCCTGTACTTATGTCTGATACACTGCTAAAAAAACCCACAAAAAAAACCCAAAACCCAGCAAGGTTAAACTAAACAAATAAGATTAGCCCAAGCCCATTTCAACTAAGAAAACATTTAACTGACATTCTATTGTATACACTTAGTTCCAATGAAACCACAAATACTTAATTCCATACTCAAATGGCTTACCCCCAAGCAAGCTTCTTTTTCTTTCGAGCTTCTTGGGCAGCCTCTGCTTCTTGCTTGGCTTTTACAAAGTTGCGGCAAGCAGCAGCTTTGGCAATTTTCACACCAAGCTAAGACATGAAAAGGAACAAATGAAAACTGAATAGATGCAAATGGCTCATATGAAATTTAAGCCTCACAAATTAGTTGGTCTGATATTGTTTCTCAAAAGTCAATAGATAATAAAATATTAGGCTGATGCTGTACTATTAGATCAGATGAGCACAAATGTCTCTTGAGAGAAATACAAAGGAGTGGGATCCTGGGGCGAGCAATCCTTTTCACCAAATCATTTGTTTTCAAGAATAAAACCAAAGGGCAATAGCCCACTAGATCCTTTTGTTTGTCTGTTTTTTAAATATATAGACATACACATACACACATGCAGTCTTCATTAGTAAGACCACTCTGTGACCTCAGCTGTGCTAACAGAATAGTATCAGGTCTTACCAATATGAAAGCTGCCCAAAACCAGTTTTATACAGGAATGACTGTTACAACCACACATCTTCTAGTAGACATGTTTTAATCAGTCTGTCCAGAAAGTAAACAAGGCAGTGTCCTTACAGTTCATCCGACATAGTCTTCACGTTACTAGCTTTCAGACTATTAGTGTGATAATATGCATACATTTCAAATAAGGTCACAATAGGTTGCAGGTGAATACTTCACTTGCATAATGCAGATGAAAACATTACTTTCATAAACTTACACTGTGATAATTAAGTTCCCTTTAGTGAACATCAGTGAGGGAAGAAGTAATAACGCACAAAAGATGGAAGAAGGTATGTGAACTATGAACATATTGTTTTGCTTAAGCATCATTTGTAACTTGTTCACTGTAGTTACACTTTGTGATTACTGTCATGACTTGACATTATCTGCACCTAAATTAGGAATTATGGAAGAATTTGGTCTCAAAAGTTACTGCTTTTCTCCAAGACAAACAAGCAATGCATTCAGCCAAAACTACCACAAATTGCAACATGGACAAATAGATTTTCTTCCTATACACTCCAAAACCTATTGAAGTTAGCTAACCTGTTTCTGATTGGATATTCTCAATTTCCCAAAATGTCATCAACAAGAGAAGCATAGAAGATCCAAGTGAAAGAACATTCCTTAACATTTTCCTTAAAGTTCCATTATTAACAGCAATAATCTGCAGCATCTATACAGGCAATTCTTATTTACTCCAGGAGATCTTTTATCCAGTTAAGATAAAACTCAAGAATGCAGCTTCAGGTATAGATGCGCTGCCATCTTCTACAGCTCTCCCACCAAACACCTACCCTGTAGGTAGGTTGAAACCCTGATCATTTTGTTAACAAAGTAAAACAAGAGAGCATCACTACAAGCTATACCACCTTATATTTCAGGGTTCAAGAATCAAGACAATAGCCTTCCTGCAGAAGGCTTTGAGAGTCTACATGCATGTAGGCAGTAAGCACAACATCAGCTTGTCCTTTGAGACTCTAAAGACTGGCAACACAATCAGTTAAGAGGTAAGCATAATATTTTAAAAGGAAAATGTGCAAAGCAACGCAAAACAAGTTTTTCATCTACTATTTGCACGTGTTATTTATAAGGCCATAAATATGTAACTATGGAATCATCTTGATGCACAAAATTAATGTGACCAGATATTTCAAAACTTTTATATAGCTATATAATTTTTCATTATATAACGTTATATATAATCAGTAATTCAATGCCAATATCTTAACTGCCAAATCTCAAGTCAAAGACTTGAACATAACATTCTCTTATTTGCATTGTCACTTAATATTTAAGGGCAGCTACTAACTTTAATAAACTTACAGTATAAGAAAGCTTAAGATCACCCAAAATGTTTACTTGTTAATTGAAATAGGACTAATTATTAGCTTAAAAACAGAGCAATCCAATGGCTGAAGTCAGTCACTCAGCAGAACCGTGCCTTTATTTTTGAGCTGTATTTTGCCTCCTAACATACTTGAAAATTAACTCTTACTACGTGATGAATAACAGCATATCCTTAAAATATATTCTAATGGCTGATTGAACACTTACAAATATACACAAGTGAGGTCTACACAAGCACTGTAGAAAAATCTTTTGATCTGTATTTTTTGAAAGACAGAACGAGTTCTATCTTTGAAAAGTACAGAAAAAATGGGATAATAATATCCTCTGTAGTGTATGTGAAAGTAAAAGGAGAAACATTTTGCAGCATTAATGTTATCGTTTCTAGGCTACAGAGTCAAATTTTCAAGACATGAAAATAAATGTGTCACACATAAACAGACATAAACATTTTAGTAGGATTAAACATCATCTGCTCACACCCACACCCAGACATACATCCGCACACACCCCCCACCCCCAAAGAAATCCTTAAAAGCTTGGTCAATGGGTTTTACATTAAAAAAACATTTCAGGTCATCAGATAACTCAATAAAATACAATCTTAAAAGAAGTAAGAAAGCATGAATAAAAATATATACAACAATTTCTTGTGTAGTCAAAGTATCAGCATTTTCCATATAGAACATCCAATATTTTGCTGCATTTTAATTAAGGTGTCTAAACATTATCACAAAGAACTGCAAATTGGTCAGAGCACGCAGTAAGGAAAATTAAGCTCTAAAGGCTTTTTATCACCATATTTCAGGAACCAAGGGTGTAAAATGTTCTAATTTGGGATATATTAAAAGCCATAAAAGGTCTTTCAAAAAGATTAATGGTACTTTGCTTGGATTTAAGATAAGGGCTTTAGCTGGTTGGAAAAGCAGGGCCCTGGCTAGACCCTTGAGGCATTCATCTTTACAGCCACTTGGAAGATTTGTAAAAGCGTCTGCATAACCTCAAGCAAACGCACTGCGACATTTTTTTTTAAATTCCTTTCAATTTTACAGGTTTAAAGTGTGTAAATCATATTGGGTAGTAAAGCTGATATAATGGCTCATCCTTGTAACATAATATATATATTTCTAAGACAAACTTAAAAACAACTTCGTCTCTACAGGGCAAAGACCTTTCCATTTTGAAGTTGACCAATAATCATGCCAAGTGTCTTACTGTAGATATTTAATGCAGCATAAATGAAAATTCCTTTTCCGTTATTTTTCATAAATTTTCTACTCATCTGAAACTGTTACCTTGTAACAAATTTCTGAAGCTTTGCTTCTTTTTGAACAGTTTCAAGGCATTTATTTAAAAATACCAATTATCATACTTTAACTTTTTACGGAATAACAGGTCTCTATGAAAAATATTTATGCCATTCTCTTTTGTTCTTTAATTAAATGAAAACAGATGTTTTCTGAAGTAAAGCGGAACCATTACTGGAGTACTTAAAGTGTTAAGGTCTTTAATTTTTATATCAGTTTGGTCTACAATTCCTGATTGTCTTTACTCAAGCTCAACATTAATGTCAAGCAAGTTACCTAGGAGACGAAAGAGATCAAAGAGACAAAAAACCCTCAAATGTCTGATTAATCAAGCCTGCAAACAGCTTATTTCTTTTAGCCTGCATGCAAGTATGAAAATGAGATTCTGGGAGCCGTACATTGTGCAGATTTGTTCATTCTTATCAGAACAAAGCCAGCGGCAGCTTATTTCATGGATCATTGGCACTGTCATCAGTGCTACACAGAACGGGTGACAGCTCCTCATTTTGAGGCTTGAACAAAATTAGCAAAAAGTCGGCACAAATTAGCCTCTCATCTTTTTAGTAATATGACATTATTCATTTACTTTTTATCCAATTTTTAATTTTTTACTTGTCAGCTATCCCTTTCTAGTGTTTCTTGCACAGCATCATAAAACACTTTTAAAACAAGCAAAGAAATGGCTGAAGTTGAAATAGTAAGTAAAGTTCAGGCAGAAGAGTAAACATTTTTATTAAGGTGCAACAGAATCTACTGTAACTTCCAGAAAACTTCCTTGAAAATCAAAACATTTAACATGAAATATCATATAGCAAAGACTTTTCATTAAGATAGGACTGTTCAATGTAAGTGCTGAATGATACAAGTAATGAGACAGATTCAAGAACTGCTCCAGAAATATTTAGGTATAATATACAAAATGCTAAATGTACAGAAGCTCTAACAAAACATCTATATTCAAACAGGTCCTGAAATATCCTATGATCACACCAGAGAAGCCAAACATCCTTTTAATACAGTGTTACACTTTCTCATCAAATATGAATCTAGTTATTTCAGGCTTGCCTTTAGCAATGATTTTCTCCTTTTATGTTATGGAATGTTATCCATTGCTGACGTATATAAAATATATAAAGCAAACAAGAATACCGACTGGATTTTGCAGTGAAAATTGTCCCCTTTCAATGATGTGCTCAACTTCCACTGTAAAATACTTTGTAACACCTTTGTTGTATTTTTATGCTGTGTATTACAACATCAAATTATATTTGGATGACACAGTAATGGAGCAAGGACAGAAAACTGTTCTCATATTAAGCTCTTTGCTAGATTTAAACATTTAAATGCAAGTAACTTCTTCCATTCATGAGAAAACACAGCATTAAAAAATTAACTATAAGCTGTTAGATGCTTTACATAGCCCCCTTATAAGAAAGGCAGTTTTAAAAAAAAAGAACTGTAGTACTGTTTTCAGCAATTTCTTTATCTCTGTTCTTCTAAGTAAGAAAGCTTATTAACAAGCTTTGAACTTAAAATCACATTTACAATAATGTGCCATCAACAGTTTTATAAGCTAATTAGAAAAAAAGATTAATTAATGACTGGCTGCTAATAAAATGGCAATCATGAAGAAAGAAACCAAGGGTGCTAAGCTTCAACTACCACCAATTAAGAGCTAATTACAAACAAATTATATATGTGTTTTGCTGTGGGCTTTAATTTACTAAAATGGTTTTAATTAAAAGAGAAAACATGCTGATTAATTGAACTGCAGAAAAAATCTACAGTATAAACTGTGCTTTGTCTGTCTCTTTAATTAGACTTGTAACATCTGAAATCTTTTTTTAAGGTTTGTTAAGGAAAAGATATACATAATTAAGGGAGCGTAAGAAAGTAATTCTAGGTGATAACCCTGCCAT